CGGTATGTGGAATGAAGTGGGCGGGCGTCGGGAAGCCACTATGGCACGGGGCAAGCACTATGGGCAGTCTATCTGAAGTGTACCTGGCGTATAAGACGACCCCCCACTTGGAGGCATATTTTTCAGGGCCAAAAAATCGTCTTATACGCCGGCAAATACGGTACCATTTAATTCACTTATCAGTTACTCTTTTTTGCTGTTGTCTATCTTCAGTACAGTCCCATAAGGGCAGGGATTTTTTTTCTTCTGTTTTGTTGACTAATGGTTCCCAGGTCTTAGAATACTGCCTGGCAAAAAGAAGGTACTAAATAAATATTTGTTGAATGAATGCATGAGTAAATTTTGAGTAAGGGCATGCATGTGCAAACTTTTAACTATGAATTTTGTAGCTATGGTTTAAAAGATTTATAGTATAGAGAATTTTAAGAAAATTATTGTTTGTCAATTTCATGTTGTAGCTTTTCTTATATTTTAAGTTTCATATGTGCTTTTTTTTTCTTTTTTCTAAAATTTCAGCTTCAGTTGTAGAAGGTCAAAAGGGTATCATTCCTCGAGCTATCCAAGAAATATTTCAAAACATCTCTGAAAATCCTAGCACTGACTTTAAAATAAAAGTTTCTTATATAGAAGTATATAAGGAAGACCTAAGAGATCTTTTAGAATTGGAGACATCTGTGAAGGATCTTCACATCCGAGAAGATGAAAAAGGAAACACAGGTAAAGTAGCCTACTTACTAGATAGCCTTCTTTAGCAAATAGATATGATTTAATTCAGTTTCTGGATACATTCCAAAGAAGCTTTTGAAACACATAGAAGCAAAATGAATTTGTTTTTACTTTAAAATTGAATATCTTTTTTAAAAAAATGTATTCTATTAACCCTTTACAGAGAGGAAGGGAGAGAGATAGTCAGAAACATCGATGAGAGAGAAACATCGATCAGCTGCCTCCTGCACACTCCCCACTGGAGATGTGCCCGCAACCAAGGCACATGCCCCTGACCGGAATCGAACCCGGGACCCCCCAGTCCGCAGGCTAACGCTCTATCCACTGAGCCAAACCGGTTATGGCTAAAATTGAATATCTTATTGATTAACAATATTAGTTAAAATGCCCAGGTGAAAAGTAGAAGTTCAACTGTTAGGCAAGATGATGCTATTAAGTTGTAATTCAAGATAATACTTAGTTCCTAAAAATGCCCCACTTCCTTCCACTCCCAACACTGACCTTAAGTGAGACTAGATTAATTTTTGTACTTTTTTTCCCCTCTCAGTTACCCCAAGATAGGGGATGGCTTCTCCCTTTGGTGTTCAGCCAGGTTTATCTAGAGCTCACCTTTGTTCTTTGATTTTTGTCCCAGCATACCTATTGCTTCCTTATTTTTTTTTAGTAGAGAGTTTATGTGTTTGCTTCTCCGTATAAACAGTTACCTGTCCTTTGTTGAGCTTCTCAAGGTCTGATTTTCTGTGTTTACAACCATTAATCTCATTAAATATCCATTTGTTTGGAAAGAGGAGACGGTTAGAAGGGGAGGGTTAAAATGCAAGTATTTTAAAGAATAATACTTTATGCTTCTTTTATTTGAAAGGAAAAATATTCAACATAAAATACTTTGAAAACATAAAAAAGTATGAGGAAGAAAATAAAAGATTATTTTTGATCCCAGAACCCAAAATAGTTTCTCTTATTGTTGTGTTTTCTTTTCTATGCAAGTAGAGTTGTTGTTGTTTTTTTGTTGTTGTTGTTTTTTTAAATATATTTTATTGATTTTTACAGAGAGGAAGGGAGAGAGATAGAGAGTTAGAAACATCGATGAGAGAGGAACATCGACCAGCTGCCTCCTGCACATCTCCCACTGGTGATGTGCCCGCAACCCAGGTACATGCCCTTGACCGGAATCGAACCTGGGACCTCTCAGTCCGCAGGCCGACGCTCCATCCACCGAGCCAAACCGGTTTCGGCAGAGTTGTTTTTTTAAATGTACTTGCGATCCCCCACATACAGTATTACATCTTATTTTTTCACTTAATATTTGTATTGTGAGCATTTTCACATGGCTTTAAATAGTTTTCAGCCTTGTGACTCTTGGTGGTCAGGTGGTAATTTGTCTTCTGAATGTATTATAATAATTTTTTTAACTATTGTTCCATTGTTGGATATTTAGGCTGTTTCAAAATTTTCACTATTATTAATAACAAGTGGCTGTTCTTGGATGTTTTCCTCTCCTAAGAAACACATGTAGTAGAACCTTCCAGGAGATAAAGGGTCCTGGTGATGGAGTCACTCCTTGAGGGAGTTTCCTAGCAGCTAGGAAAGTAAGATGGCTATAGTCATTGAAACAGCAGCCTGCAGGGGGCAGTAAAGCTCGTCCCTGGACATTTGGAGAAATTGTTTTTTTGTTTTGTTTTGTTTTTAGAAAGCATACATAGTAGTTTATGAAATTACTAGAGGCCCGGTGCATGAATTCGTGCATGAGTGGGGTCCAGCCGCCCACCCCTGATGTGGGGAAGCGGGGGCGGGGAGTTATTAGTGTCAAAGATCTTTGCAGGGTGTGTACACGTTCGCTCTTGGCTTTAGGATGAGTTGAAGCTTCAAAGGCACTTTAGTGTCAGGGACACTTACAGCTTCTGTTTCTAAGCCTCCCCCTAGATAGGTAATGCGGTTTAGTTCCCTGTATAGCTATTTTTTTCTGAACAGAATTCTGACTGGAGTTTTGAGCTTTTGTATCGTGAAATATATTTACTGAATATTTTTATCTTTTATTAAAAATTACAAAAATAATAAATTTATTTTAAAATTATCTCACAGTATGGAGGGTACATTGTCATTCCTGATAAACTTAACAATCAAAATATTCCCTGACTAATATCAATTCTGCAAAAATTTTTTGCAGGATATAACAAATTATGTTAAGACAAATTGCCATATATCTGACATAATGTCTTACAACATGCACTTCTTTGACATATTTATTGAGTCCTTTGTGTGAAGCAATGGTTGGTATCCAACCTGGAAGCGGCACAATTAGCACCACCTTTGAAGCTTTTTAAAAAGTATTGGTGCTAAGCTTCAAAGGCACTTTAGTGTCAGGGACACTTACAGCTTCTGTTTCTAAGCCTCCCCCTAGATAGGTAATGCGGTTTAGTTCCCTGCTGACAAACCCCCTAAAGAGAGGCTATGGTGTGATGTGGCTGCCCTCTTTGGTAGGAAGCAGTGGAGAGAGAATGCAGGAAGATGGTGGTTGTGCTGGGCACCTCTCCTGGACACCTGACTGATGGTCCAGACCATGAGCAGTTTTCCTCCTGATCACTTGTCATTCAGATTTCTGGACTATGAAGCCTGGAGAGCATTTACTTACTTAGAATTTCTGAAGGTCACACTTCAGTGATGATGGGCTGGGCGATCGGGTCGGGGCAGCAGGGGGAAGGGCTGTGGGTGGTTGGATGGCAGGCCCTGCCCCTGATCGGGCTGGATGGCCGCTGCAGTGCACGGCAGAGCCACTGGTCATTCTGGTCGTTCTGCTGCCATTCGGTCGGTTGAGTGTCAACCTGTGAACCAGGAGGTCACTAAAATTTCTTCCTGTTCAGGGCACATGCCTGGTTGCAGGCTTGATCCCCAGTGTGGGGTGTGCAGGAGGCAGCTGATCAATGATTCTCTCTCATCATTGATGTTTCTATCTCTCCCTCTTTTTTCCTCTCTGAAAGCAATACAAATATATTTTTTTAAAGTACTGGTTTCTGGGCCTTACTTTTCAGAAATTCTAATGAACTAGAGGCCCGGTGCACAAAAATTTGTGCACTCAGGGGAGTCCCTCAGCCCGGCCTGTGCCCTCACGCAATCTGGGACCCCTTGGGGGATAACCACCTGCTGGCTTAGGCCTGCTCCCCGGGGGATTGGGCCTAAGCTGGCAGTCAGACATCCTTCCGGCAGCCTGGGAGCTCTTGGGGGATGCCCACTTGCCAGCGGGGAGCAGGCCTACACTGCAGTCTGACATCCTTAGCGCTGCTGAGGAGACGGGAGAGGCTCCCACCACCACCGCTGTACTGGCAGCCGGCAGCCTGGCTTGTGGCTGAGCAGAGCTCCCCCTGTGGGAGCGCACTGAGCACCAGGGGGCAGCTCCTGCATTGAGCGTCTGCCCTCTGGTGGTCAGTGTGTGTCATAGTGACCAGTCATTCCCAGTCGTTCTGCTGTTAGGGTCAATTTGCATATTACTCTTTTATTATATAGGATAGGGGCCTGGTGCATGGGTGGGGGCCGGCTGGTTTGCCCTGAAGGGTGTCCTGGATCAGGGTGGGGGTCCCACTGGGGCACCTGCCCAGCCTGGGTGAGGGGCTGAGGGCCATTTGCAGACTGGCCACACCCCCTTCAGGGGGGGGGTCCCCACTGGGGTGCCTGGCCAGCCTGGGTGAGGGGCTGAGGGCTGTTTTCAGGCTGCCACCCCCCCTTCAGGGAGGGGGGTCCTGCTGGGGTGCCTGGCCAACCTGGGTGAATGGCTGATGGCTGTTTGCAGGCTGGCCACAGTCCCCAGTCACCCAAGCTCCCAGTGGAGGCTGGCTGGAAGCAGGTATCTTGGGTTTGTTTATATTCTATAATTGAAACTTTTTGCCTTGAGTGGAACTCAGAACCGGCCAGGGCCTGCGGGAAGCTTGGCTTCCTCCATCGCTGGGGCAACCAAGCCTCCAGCTACATGGCTGCCAGCTGCCATCTTGGTTGGGTTAATTTGCATATAGTCGCTCTGATTGGCTGGTGGGCGTGGCTTGGGGGCGTAGCAAGGTTACGGTCAATTAGCATCTTTGTCTTTTATTAGTGTAGATTAGTCTGGGATGGGACCTGGGCACAGGTAGTTTCTTTTTTATAAAGCTCCCTCTCAGGTGATTTGCAGCTGGGCTTGAGAACCTTATCTAGTACTAAGCTATACCCTAACACTAGAAAAGTTATATAAAATTTATGCTATAATTTATAGTTATATTATCATATTTTATAATTGCTGATATTTTAGCATTGTCTGTAGTACAGGTACTTTAGAACTTTAAATGAACCAGGTTGTTAAAAAAGGTTTCATGGTGGAAATAATATAAGCAAAATGATTATTTTTCAAAGAAACAGTGGCATGATGGGATCTGATTAAAAAGGAAGTACACCATTGTAATTTGACCTCAGAATTAGGAGCTTTACTGCTTTGATTCAAATCTGAAATCTACCTAGTCTTTTTTGAAAATTTTGTGTATAAATATGTGGTAATAGTAAGCTTAGGTTACTTGTTCTTATTCTGCCATTGAAATAGAAATTTTCTGCTTGTTTTGAATTGCCATTTCATTTGTTTACCTTGCACTCTGATATTATGTAGGGCACACCTGCTTTTAAAATGAATACCTTTGCCGAAACCGGTTTGGCTCAGTGGATAGAGCGTCGGCCTGCGGACTGAAGGGTCCCAGGTTCGATTCCGGTCAAGGGCATGTACCTGGGTTGCGGGCACATCCCCAGTGGGAGATGTGCAGGAGGCAGCTGATCGATGTTTCTCTCTCATCGATGTTTCTAACTCTCTATCTCTCTCCCTTCCGCTCTGTAAAAAATCAATAAAATATATTTAAAATAAAATAAAATAAAATAAAATGAATACCTTTACTTATACTAAAATTTTCATCTGTCATTAGTTGTGACTCCACAATATAAAAAAAAAAAAACTTAAACCTAAAGAGAGCTTGAATAGTAACAAAATTCATGAGAGACTATTTTTTAAAAATGAATCTATTACTAATTGTTTTTTAATCCTCACCTAAGGATACATTTATTGATTTTAGAGAGAGAAGAAGGGAGAGAAAGAAATACTGATGTGAGAGAGAAACATCAATCCATTGCCTCCCTTCTCACCCTGACCGGGGACTGAATCCAAAACTTAGGTATGTGTTCTGACCGGGAATTGAACCTGCACCCTTTTGGTGTATGGGTCGACACTCCAACTAACTGAGCCATCTGGCCAGGGATGATTAATTCTTTATATGGATTTTTTGACTTTTATTGCTTTTAATTAAAATCTGAAATTGAAACAGTTATTTTGTAGTGTATATAAATCAATTAAGCATGATAAAATTTACATCTATACTTAGGGAGTTGTTAGAAGAAAGATCATATATAATTTCAAGGAATTTTTTTTTAATATATTTTATTGATTTTTTACAGAGAGGAAGGGAGAGAGAGAGAGAGAGAGAGTCAGAAACATCGAAGAGAGAGAGACATCGACCAGCTGCCTCCTGCACATCCCCCACTGGGGATGCGCCCGCAACCCAGGTACATGCCCTTGACCGGAATCGAACCCGGGACCCCTCAGTCCGCAGGCCGACGCTCTATCCACTGAGCCAAACCGGTTTCGGCTAATTTATTATCTTTTAATTAATCCATTAGCTTCTCCAAATCAAATACTGAAATTAAGAGTTTTTCTCTTATTAGCTGGTTTAAAGAATTGCATATGATGTGTGACTGCAAAGAAACCAGATCGTTAAAAACTATGTACTTTTAGAATTTAAACATCAAATTGAGCACTCTCTGTAAAATGTCCCTTTTGGGACATTCTCTAAAGTTAATTAATGTTGCTGCTGTTACTATTGTTTGAAATACTATTGATTTTTTTTTAAATCCTCATCCGAGGATATTTTTCCTTTGATTTTTAGAGAGAGAGGGAGAGACAGAGAGAAACAGAGAGAAACACCGAAGTGAGAGAAACACATCCATTGGTTACCTCCCACATGCCCCCTATCAGGGCCCTGGGAGCCTGCAACCAAGGCATGTGCTCTTGACTGGAATCCAAACCCAGGACCCTTCAGTCCACAGGCCAATGATCTATCCACTGAGCCAAACCGGCTAGGGCACTATTGATTTTTTAAAGGGAATGTTTTAGCTGGGCAGTCTAGCAAATAACCTAAGGATACATTTATTGATTTTAGAGAGAGAAGAAGGGAGAGAAAGAAATACTGATGTGAGAGAGAAACATCAATCCATTGCCTCCCTTCTCACCCTGACCGGGGACTGAATCCAAAACTTAGGTATGTGTTCTGACCGGGAATTGAACCTGCACCCTTTTGGTGTATGGGACGACACTCCAACTAACTGAGCCATCTGGCCAGGGATGATTAATTCTTTTGAGTTATATATTTAATTAATTTATTATCTTTTTTTAAATATATATTTTATTGATTTTTTACAGAGAGGCAGGGTTAGAAACATCGATGAGAGAGAAACATTGATCAGCTGCCTCCTGCACATCCCCCACTGGGGAAGTGCGCGCAACCCAGGTACATGCCCTTGACCGGAATCGAACCTGGGACCTTTAAGTCCGCAGGCCGACGCTCGATCCACTGAGCCAAACCGGTTTCGGCTAATTTATTATCTTTTAATTAATCCATTAGCTTCTCCAAATCAAATACTGAAATTAAGAGTTTTTCTCTTATTAGCTGGTTTAAAGAATTGCATATGATGTGTGACTGCAAAGAAACCAGATCGTTAAAAACTATGTACTTTTAGAATTTAAACATCAAATTGAGCACTCTCTGTAAAATGTCCCTTTTGGGACATTCTCTAAAGTTAATTAATGTTGCTGCTGTTACTATTGTTTGAAATACTATTGATTTTTTTTTAAATCCTCATCCGAGGATATTTTTCCTTTGATTTTTAGAGAGAGAGGGAGAGACAGAGAGAAACAGAGAGAAACACCGAAGTGAGAGAAACACATCCATTGGTTACCTCCCACATGCCCCCTATCAGGGCCCTGGGAGCCTGCAACCAAGGCATGTGCTCTTGACTGGAATCCAAACCCAGGACCCTTCAGTCCACAGGCCAATGATCTATCCACTGAGCCAAACCGGCTAGGGCACTATTGATTTTTTAAAGGGAATGTTTTAGCTGGGCAGTCTAGCAAATAACTGTTATGTGGTTAATTTGACTGTACTGGATTTTGATTAAAACTTGACTTAAAAACTTGCTGTTTTAAGTGATTGTCGGGGCCAAGGAATGCCAGGTGGAGAGTGCAGATGAAGTGATGAGCCTCCTGGAGATGGGGAATGCAGCCAGGCGTACAAGTACCACCCAAATGAATGAACACTCCAGTAGATCACATGCAATTTTTACAATCAGCATTTGTCAAGCTGAAAAAAATACAGAGGCAGCTAAAGATGGATCATGGTCTTCCCGCCAGCAAATTGTCTCAAAGTTCCATTTTGTGGATTTGGCTGGATCAGAAAGAGTAACGAAAACAGGGAATACTGGTGAACGGTTCAAAGAATCCATTCAGATCAACAGTGGGTTGCTGGCTTTAGGAAATGTAATAAGCGCTCTTGGGGACCCACGCAGGAAGAGTTCACATATTCCATATAGGGACGCTAAAATTACCCGGCTTCTGAAAGATTCCCTGGGAGGCACCGCCAAGACTGTCATGATTACTTGTGTCAGCCCATCGTCCTTCAATTTTGACGAATCCTTAAATTCTCTCAAATATGCCAATAGAGCACGCAACATCAGGAACAAACCCACCTTAAACTTCAGCCCTGAGTCAGACCGGATGGATGAAATGGAATTTGAGATTAAGTTGCTTCGAGAAGCTTTGCAAAGTCATCAGGCTAGTAATAGCCAAACCAGCCAGATCCATCGAGAGGGGACTCCTGACAACAGGATCCTTTCTCTCGAGGAACAAGTAGCTCAGCTCCAAGGAGAATGTCTGGGTTACCAACATTGTATAGAGGAAGCCTTCACTCTCCTGGTGGAGTTAAAGGACACTGTCAGTCTAAACCAAAAGCAGCAACAGAAGCTGCAGGAGTGGTTTAACATGACCCAGGAGGTCAGGAAGGTGATTCCCAGCTCATTCAGAGGCAGCTGCGGCATTGGAAACCTGGAAGAAGGACCACAGCATATTAGAGTTAACCAACTGAAGCGAGAGCTGAAGAAATGCCAGGTACATAACACTGCTTTTATAAAATAACGTGTTTAAGGACTAAATTTATTTGGGGCAAGTAAAAGTCATTGTAGAATGTCAGAAAATTTTTAAAAGGGTTATATGTAAAATCTCATTTGCCTTTGCATTGTTTCTCCCTTTTCCTATTCTTCTCATATGCATACCTTTCCTGGCTCCTCCTTTTTTCTACTGTAAAATGTATTTTAAGTTGATATGTTCATTAAGTACAATCTTGTGGACCTGGTCATTAAATTTAGAGGATGGGAACAAATAGTTTCAGGAACAAAATTAAGTTATACTTTACTGAGTTTTATCCCTCTATGGGTCAGTGGTTCTTGAAAGAAAAAATACTTCATCCCTTGAATTTGGAGTACTGATTTTTTTTAAAGAAGCAAAATCATCATATTTGGTAATATTTAAGAAATGTAGATATGTACATGTATGCATTATATGTATTGCATTTACATACATTGAGTTTAGAATTACATTTCCCCACTTTTCATTCAAAAAACATTTATTGAGTGAAGATTATGTGTCACAGGAAAGGTAGTAAATAGCAAGACATACCTAGTTCTGCTTATGTGGAGTTTGCAACTTGGTGGGCAAAGAGATGTTCTGCCAGATTTTTAAAGTAGGAAAACATAGTTAAAATGTAAAAATAATTTAAAACATAGCTGTCTAGTTAGAAATCTTTCCTCAATACCTTTTTACATGTATTAGGAAAAAGCCAGTTATACTTTATTATTGCAGTCATTGAAATTTTGTTCTCAGGTTTCTTTTTTATTATTTTTTATTGATTTGAGAGAGATAAAGAGAGATAGAAACATTGATGAAAGAGATACATTGATTAGTTGCCTCCTATATACCCCCGACTGAAATCGAACGCGCAACCTAGGTATGTGCCCTGAGTGGGACTTGAACCCACGACCGTCTGGTGCATGGGATGATGCTCCAACCAACTGAGCTATACAGGCTCAGTGTATCTATAGATATTTACCATATTAGAATTAAAACAGGAAATTTAATTATTAATTTATTTAAAATAACAATAATAATCTAATTATATGGTAATATATAGACTATTTTTCATGAACAAATAATATTCCCAGAAACCAAAAAATTAATAAGTGAAATTGTTTTACATTTTTGCACAGCTCTTTAATATCTGGCTTAATAGAAGACAGGTAAATTTTCATATCTGCTTCAGCATTCAGTTTGTCACAATATGTTGTTTTAGTTGAAATACATGAAGAAAATCCAGCATCATATAGATTTTTAATTAGAAAGAGAATATTTAATGCCTTTTTTAGATAATTGTGGATATTCTTCTTTGAAATCACACTCAAACTCAACAAGTAGAAATTTCCTAAAGATTACTTGCAATGTCGGATTTGAAACTATTTTGTTACATTAAGATCTATACATTAGAATTCAGAAGATGGCCGACAGGACAGCAGGGAGAGGGAGAGTGTGACAGAGTAAAGAAGCGAGAGGAACGTGTGTGGAAGTGGGTGGTGGGTGCGTGGGTGAGTGAGGGACAGATAGATATCTCAGGAATACCTGGGCCTGGCAGGTTGGGCTCGCCATGGGCACCCCACGCCGGTTTAGCTTTGGCGCAGAAAGCACGCCATCTTGTAGAGGGGAGCGAAGGCGGCCAGGAGTGCTGCCCCACCAACATCCGGACTAACCTCGGGCAGCACCCCCGGACCTGGCCAGGGAGCCTCTTGCCAGCTCTAACCCACTTGGAGCCACCACCGTGCCCAAGCAGTGAGCAACGCGGTACCGCGACGTGGGTCCCAGATGACTTCAGTGGGAGCACATCAGACAGACCTCCGGAGGAGCTGAGCCTCTTAAGCAGAGCCCAAACCCAGCGTCCCAGGATCCCACGCTTCAGGTCCTCGAGCTGTGAGTGCAAGCTATGGGACCCCACTCCCCGCTTCATCCCTGATACCAGTATAGAACCTCAGCCCAGTGTGTCCTACACTCCTGCCCAGACGGAACCCTAGCCAGGTGAGCACCCCTCCCCTGACACTGAGCTCCACGGCCAGCATAGAGCCCTCACAGAGCACGGGTGAGGGCCCCGCCCCTTGTGCAGACTGAGCACGCTCCACCCCCAGCTTTGCACTCGCTGCCAACTTAGGCAAAGCCTGCACAGGGCCAGCCCCCTGCCTCTGGCACAGCCTGAGTGCGCAACGCCACCAGCTTTGCGCTCTGCTTTCAACTTAGGCAGAGCTCTTGCAGAGTAAGTGCCCAGCCCCTTACACAGACAGAGTGCACTCCGCTGCCAGCCCAGGCAGAGCTCTCAGAGGGTGAGGACCCCGCCCCTTGCACAGATGGAGCGTGCTCGGCCACCACCTTTGCACTTCACCACCAACTTAGGCAAAGCATGCGAAGGGCAAGCGTCCTGCCTCTGGCACAGCCTGAGTGCACTCTGCCACCAGCTTTGCCCTCTGCCTCCAGCTTAGGCAGAGCCCTTGGAGGGTGAGCATCCCACCTCTGGCACAGACTGAGTTCGCCCAGCCACTAGCATAGGAAGAGCCAGCCCTTCAGGGCAAGCGCCCACAGCCTGGGCATAGACTGAGTGTGCTCCGTTGGTAGACAGAAACCTCAAGGGCAAGTGCCCTGCACCCCGACAAAGACAGAGCAGCTCCACCATCAGCACAGACAGACCCTTTGGCTGGGGCATACCCCACTCCGGCACAGACAGAGCGGCAGCCCAGAATGGGCTAGCATCTGGCTGAGACAGAACCTTGAGCTGGTGGGTGCTCTGTTGCCAGCACAGACAGAGCCTTTGGCTAGTGCACACCCCACCCCCAGCACAGACAGAGCTGTCATCTCTGCATGCCCTACCCACAGCCCAGGTCAAAGCTGCTGGCACGACCTGGTGTGCCAACTCAGGTCACAGGTCAGTGCTGCAAGTGCACTGCCAGAGGGACCTAGGGTAGTATCTTGCCTTAGGGGCTGGAGGAGCACAGCGTACTGCATGCCAGAGGGCTCTGGGCTCTCACAGAGAGTTGCACACTAAGGGTACTGTGCACCGGCCCCCACCAACTCCGAGAAATGGATAATTGAGGGACCAGCACCATGGGAGAAGGGGATACAACTCAGAGCAGAGACAAAAAAGGTGTGAAACTCAAGGGAGACGCAGTCCCTGGTGCTAGTGAGTCCATGACTATTGGACTGCGGGGAGCCTCAACCCCTTGAACACCAAGCAGGTAGCCCAGGGCCAGAAAGAGACAGCAAAAATGGGGAAGACAAAGAAACCCCAAAGGAAACAAAAGGAGGAATCACCAGAAAAGGAATTAAATGAAACCAAGGCATGCAATTTGTCAGAAAAAGAATTCAGAATAAGGGTCATGCAATTCATAAACTGGATGGATGAAAAAAATCAACAACCTATGTAAGAATCAGGAAGAAATAAAGAGTGCTATAGCTACAATAAAAATCTCCACAGGAGCTTTCAACAGTAGACTAGAAGAAGCAGAGGACCGAATTAGTGAATTATAAGGCAGGGAAGCAAAACGCACCCAGTCTGAACTGCAATTGGAGAAAAAAAACCAAAGGCAGGAGGAGAGCCTAAGGGAGCTTTGGGACAACATGAAACAACGCAATGTATGTATAATAGGGGTGCCAGAAAGACAAGAAGAGGAGTAAGGGTTAGAAAACCTATTTGAAGAAATAATGTCAGAAAACTTCCCTGATTTGGGGAAGAAAAAAATTACACAAGCACAGATAGTCCCAAATAAGATGAACTCCAAAAGATCCACACCAAGGCATGTTGTAGTTACAGTAGCTATTGTTAAGGACAAAGAGAACTTTAAAGGCTGCAAGAGAGAGACAGGAAGTTACTTACAAGGGATCTCCCGTTAGATTATCAAATGATTTCTCAACACATCAGGCCAGAAAGGCA